GTTTTGCAACACGCTTCAGAGGAGCTACATCTCCCAAGGGGAGAGGAGTAACCCAGTGCAAGGGGGCATCCTCAGCGTGGGAGATGCTCACAGCTCAGATGGGTGCCTGTATCCTCATCCCATCGTGCCCATCTTTGGCAGATGTGTGCCTGTATCCTCATACTGGTACCCATCCATGCTGTGAGCATCTCCTGCGTTGAGGCGGTCAAACACATTCAGGCTCAATAATTGGGGGATTAAGTAAGATTGGTGGTATGGCACTGTGGAAACAGAGCTGATGGGCAGCAAGTCTCAGCTGGGCTTTGTAAACCACCAGTGAAGCTGTCCCAGCCCCACCTCGGTGTCACCCAAAGAGGAGCCAACGTCACGTCACAGCTCCGGCACAGAGGGAGAAGCAAGGGCGGCCAGGCAGAGCAAGGAGCAGGCTGCCTTCTTGGCGGTGCCTTCCCACATCAAGCAGCTCTGCGGCTCCTTGCTTTTCCCCAGCGAGGCCAAGAGCCTTGTCCACATTACACCAAATGCCCCAAAACCCAGGGAGAGCGGGGGCGGAGGGACGGGTGGGAGCTGCTCCAGCTCCAGGGGATCTTCCCGGAAAGCAAAAAGCACAAGTTCCCAGTGCCCTCTGCAGGAAGAAGCACAGCCCTTTTCCCCAAATTTGGGGGCCTTCCAGGAGGGCAGTAAGCAGCGGGATGGGTGTCTGCCACACATGGCTTGCTGTGTCCCCCGTGGGACAGGGACCCGGGGGCCCACCTGCCTGTCCCCAGGGTCCTTTTTGCACATGGATGGATGTGTGCATTGCTTTGCTGCAGGAACTTGGGGTCCCTGATAGCGTGGCTGTGGCCGTTCCCAAGAGTCACCTGAAATAATCAACACAGGGCAGACAGATGGTGCTATTTATTCCCAGGGGAATAAATAGGTCGGTTAACTGAGAGGTTTGGGTTTTGTACAGTAGAGTCAGGGCTTAACCTTACTCTTGTTGGGTTTGTTTTTTTTTTACTTTTATTTGGTACTTAGGGAAAAACAAGGGGGAAAATGAAGAGGTGGAAAGTAAGGCTCCCCTAAAGCAGAGATCGATGAAACGATCCCCTAAATCTCGCATGTCCCCATCGAGGACTCTGAGCGAGCAGCGTTGCACAGATTTACTTGTTCACTTGCGAACACCCTTCCCGAAGCCTCGCTGCTGCCTCGGGGAGCTCCCTCCTCACTACGAACCCCGTGCCGGGAGCAAGGGCATCGCTCCCGGCGTCCCGCGGGTCTCACCAATGAAGCTCCCGAGAAATGCCCACACCAGGCTGCTGGAGGTCGCCCACTCCCCAGGGAAGCGTGCAGTGGAGCACTGCCCTTTCTGCCCCCGCATTGCTGGGAGGAGAAAGCTCTTTGGCAAGCAGCAGAGGAGGAGCCGGTGGCTTTGCCAGAGGCTGGCTGTGGTGGTCGGCTGTAATTAAAAGCAGGAGGTTATGGCGGGGGGTGATGAGAGAGGCTGACACCCACTGCTGGTCACTCGGGGGTGGCAGGCGTCACTGCATCCCGGGTGGAGTATCTGCCCGGCATTGCTTGGTGGCTGTTCTGTTGAGTCCCAGGGTGTTTGGGGGTTTGCCGATGCCCCAGCAGACCACTGCCCTGCCCTGGCGGTTATAAGCACCTTCCCACCATGGCTGCAGGGAAGACAGAGCAGGTGGGCCAGCAGGCAAATGGTGCACTGGGTCTCCAAGACCAGTGGCGTGGGCAGCTCCCCAGGGCGTGGGCTGGCACAGCATGGCACAGCACGCGTGATTCTGCCCCTCTGCTCCGCTATGGTGAGACCCCCCTGCAGCGCTGCCTCCAGCTCTGGGGCCCCCAACATACGAAGGACATGGACCTGTTGGAGCGGGGCCAGAGGATGTCATGAAGATGCTGGGAGGGCTGGAGCCCCTCTGCTGGGAGGACAGGCTGGGAGAGTTGGGGGGGGTCAGCCTGGAGAAGAGAAGGCGAAAAAGGGGAGACCTCAGAGCCCCTTCCAGTGCCTAAAGGGGCTCCAGGAGAGCTGGGGAGGGACTCAGGGAGGGGAGCCATGGGATGAAGAAGAATGGCTTCAAACTGGAAGAGGGGAGATTGAGATGAGATCTTAGGAAGAAATGTTTCCCTGTGCGGGTGGTGATCCCCTGGGGCAGGTTGCCCCGAGAAGCTGTGGCTGCCCCATGCCTGGAGGTGCTCAAGGCCAGGTTGGACGGGGCTTGGAGCAACCTGGGCTGGGGGGAGGTGTCCCTGCCCAGGGCAGGGGGTGGCACTGGATGGTCTCTAAGGTCCCTTCCGACCCCAACCATTCTACGGCTCCATACTACGGCACGACACAACACGCGCCGCGCCTTCCCGCCGCTTCGCCTTTAAGGCGCCA